TCCTGCAACGATTTGTCCTGCGACGATTTGTCCATGCGACGTTTTGTCCGCAACGGATTGTCCGCAACGTTTTGTCTCGCGACGATCTGTCCGGTCACCGAAAGAACAACGGGTAACTCTAAATGGATTAGTATTATTAGCTGAAGAAGAAGTCGATAAAGTGATTCTGGCACATTATGCTTCATGATTTAGCTGTGGTACACGTGTATTACATGAGCACTCAAGTAAAGTGGTTGATTCCATTTTGTTATTGTTGCATGACGGCTATTTCTTCATTTAGACCAAATATATCACAGGATTTCAGAAGGAAGAATTTCAAAAGTACTGAAAGCAAGTAGTGCATGTGGCCAAATTCGACCGGCATTCTCCAACAAAGGACCTCGGAAGATTATACAAGCGAAACAAGTGTTCGAGCGCTTTCAAGTCGATCTTGTTGATTTGTCTCGTCGACCAGTTACTCATGATGGTTTTGAATTTCGTTATGCTTTGGTTGTTCTTGATATATTTTCACGATATCTTTTCTTGCGTGCATTAAAAAAGAAAAGCTCAGTTATTGTTTATATAATGATCTTTAATAGGCATGCTGTTTTTCGCACATTCATTAACCAAGAGTAATATTTAAAGATTTCCTTTCCTATTTACTCGACAAGTGAGGTGAAAACGACCGAAAAGTATTAGTAAGCCAGAATGTATCGAAATGCCTAGAGGACAATAAAAAGACATTCAAATGAAAGGTTAAGAAGACAGTGAAGTGTTCTATTTCATTTAGCGGAGGTATCTGAATACCTTGAGCCTATTTTGCGGGAGCATAGGACACCAAAAATCATTCAAACAGATCGAGGCACGGAATTTCAAGGTGTATTTGACGATTTATGTAACCGTCGCAATATTCGACATATACGATCACGTCCTTAACATCCAGAATCTCAAGGAAAAGTAAGTGAAATAGCATTAGTTGATTAGAAATGCGTGTTTTTTAAATCATCAGGTTGAACATATAAATCGATCTTGGAAGAATAAAATGTTCTATGATCTTATCATCAATGAAAATACCAACTGGGTTAGCAATCTTACTTTGTATTCAGAAACATACAATCAGTCGAAGCATCGTGGTCTCGGTAGGTGATATATTATGATATCATATTATATATTAATATTTTTATTTAAAAGATATCATACTCCGTTTTATGTTTACTGCGGTCGCGACGATACACAGTCTTCTGTTTAAAATGACGCTGCCAATGATGAAGATGCTGATGTACGCTATTTCCTCGAAGAAATACGTAGAAAAGCTATTATGAAAGAGAATAATATTCATGTAAAATATTAGCATGAATTTTAGTATAGCTGATACCGTAGATTATATCGTATTACCATGTAAATATACTTATAATCAACCACTATCGATATCGTTTTAGGCATATGTTGAACTCGATGATCAAGAACAACTCCAGGAAAATATTTAAAATGATGCAATAGAAGCAAAAGAAGATGCCAAGAAGAAAGCAAACGAGAAGATTCAAAAATATTACGAAAAACAAAAAGTTGTTTATGAAGGAGATGCATGTGCAGCTGTTTACAACGTTGGTGGTATAGTTCATGTTTCAATAAATCATCTCACCTAATTGATGGACATTGAATCATTTTCTACTATTCATTTTAGACGAAGTGATGGTGAAATTAACTGGAAAGAAGTACGATTTGACTAAAAAGAAGAACGTTATTCGGCCTGGAGTTATTGTTCAAGCAAGAATCGACGCCTTTCTATACCTGATTCAATATGAATATAACAATGCTAGCCGTGAAGATTGGTTTTTTGTGGATAATATAACGTGTCGAACAGTTCAAGAACAAGAACAGCGACTAGCAATGAGCAAAAACAAATGCTCCAATAATTCACATCCTCAAACCACGAGAAAGAGAAGACGATCGAGTAGGTTAATTGTTATGTTTAAAGAAGTTTGAAGATAAAACATTTTTCATTCGATTATTTATCAGTTATTTTTATTTTACTTAAATCAAATATTGTCTCGAATAATTGTTCTGTTTAAGAAGGCACAGCAACTAACCATGCAAAACATGCAGTGATGAAGATTAAAGAAATTTCGACAAGGAAAGAAAGTAAGTCCGTCTGAATGATTATTTATTTTTTCTTACTCAATTGATCTCTTTTATATTAGAAGAACAACGTTCCACGGCCTCTAACAATCACAAATGTTCTTCTAAAACTTCATCTGAAAAAGTTTATGATATGCTGGACAAAGCAATACTTACTCATCTAGAAATTTTAAACAATGATTGCCTCCTCGACGAATCAGTTGGAAAAGAAATACCTAATTTTGATTCAGATCACGCAAGAAGTAACGGCTATTGCTGCAAGAGTTACTTCAAAGTTCATTCGTTTTGCAATGTTAAAATAAATTTTGCATATAATTTAAATGCATTGCACGAGGTAATATCTTTTAATAAGTATTTGAGTTTGTTCAATAATTGGAATGCCTATTGCTTTTCATCGATTGTGGTTGTTGTTTAAACGATCCTTACTGTTTTTAGACCACAGTCAATTGAAATATATTGATGATAAAAACGATTTAGTTCAAAAACCAAAGGATTCATCACCAGCAATGAGATTTGATATACCATTCTTTTGTAAGAAAATGATTTTACTTTTGTCTTTGGTAAGTTTTCTTTTTGCACACGATAGATCCAGATACATTTGAAGATATAGAAGCTCGTCAAATGAAAGAAACTTCAAAAAGAGTGTGTCATTTGTGATCCCACTGTTCCTGAAAATGGTGGCGCCGTAACGGAAGACAATTTAACATTCATTTTTCTATCAACATGTACTATGGATTATTTTTTATCATTTATACGACTTATTTTTATCAAGAATTATTTTCTTCGTGACTTTCTCGAATCAGCAGCAAGACAAGACAATATTGTTGCGAAAACACTTCTTGAAATGGAACCTTCGTTGAATGCATTAGATTGGAATACAGCACGTTTCATTTGGGCAAAAATGATTGATATTATAGATAGATCACTCGATGAACAACATCGAAGTGAAACCACATTTCGTGCTCTTAAGGTAAATTAAATTTATATCTCATCTGTAGTATTCACTACAGTATGAACTGAGTGGCTTCTTGGCTGTTTAAAATGACGATCGAGCCATTGAAAAACTGCTCCCAATAATTCATATTCAATAATATCTTATTTCAAAGTATTATTTATTCTAGAATAAGATGGAACCAGACCTTTATGAATGGCAATTGGCTCAAAATCGCCGTATTGAAAGAACATTGCGTGCCAATATTTATATCAATTGTTTTGGTTCTGAAGACGAGTTCTTCGCAAATCATATTGCTAATCTATTACAACCATACGAATATGAAACTGTATGCAGCAATGTGAAATGTCCAGTTAGAAGAAAATCTCATAAAAGCTCTCGTTTATCATTCAAGTAGGTTCAAAATTGTGAATAAACATTTATGACATCTTTCAATTTGTTCTCTTATTAATGAGCATTATTGATACTGCTTAGTTACAAATATATCAGGGTCAGTTAGAGTAGTTCACAATCGAAGTTCATAAATGTTGACTCATATAAATACGAAGCATAAAACTGTCTTCTATTTAGTGTGAAAAATGGCAACATTCAAGATCAAATTATTGCTGAATTTGGTACTCGAAGTCGGGAGAAATGTGATGCTGAACTAAACAGATGGTCTTCAGACACGCCTTTGCTGAAAAATTTCGAATTAAAATACTTGAAGAAAATTAACATTGATAACAAGGAAAACGAAGAAGATGAATCTGGGTAAGCTAATGTAATGATTTCTCTACAGGCATAAAACTGTTTTTTATTGTAGTCTTTATGTTGTCTGTTCTGGTCAACGTTCATTAACCCAGTCAAAGTTTGTTCATACGGTGCTTCCGCCAATGGTGCTGGTTATGAATACCGACAATACCATCACGACTTCGACTGCTACTCGTCAGATAAATATACAAAACCAAAAGTAAGTATTCTTACCCTTTTATCTTCAAACTTAAGACGAAGCTGACATATTTCTGGTTGATTTAGATATTGTTTGTTTGCTATGACAAGTCACATTCCTGGTCATTTTATTGGTATGATAACGTGTCATGATCATAAGCAAGATACTGTTGTAGATGATTTGTGCAAAGCATCTGAAGGTGTTCATATTGTCTCAAGGGCATTTTATAATCAATCCAAGTAGATCATATGCAATAGTTTATTTTTTCTATCCTATTTTTGTTAATGACAAATTATTTCTTTTTATCATTTTTCTGTAATTGATTATTGTTTTACTTTTTTTTATTTGCTTGATTTTGAGGAAATTATCTTGTGATAATAAAAAGAAATTTAAAAAATCATTTCAATGCTTCTACTTATTGCAACCAGTTTCAACACATAACTAGACTAAAATAGACGACTTCAACGATTATTTTATGCTTTGATGAGTAACATATATTAATTTGAGTAGCCCGTGTTAACTTCAACTTCTGGTTGTAGTAATGTTTTACATAAAAGAACTGAAAAACTATCGTTTTTAATAAAATTCTTTTCAAATTCGACAAGTCTCCTATGAATCATTCTTTGATTAGATAATTTCTATTAGCAATACAAAATAACCAATTCGATTTTTCACATTAATGAATTCCATGTGCCTCCATGATGACGTCCACATTTTCCCTTAACTCGTGTCCACAAAGGATTCTATAGTCCGACGTTTGTCAGGATTCATTTTTAGTTTAGGGATTGCGTTTCAGCCTCAAGAAAAGAGGATAATATTGTGTTGGATTCTTTGAATAACCAATAGAAAATTGAACGAATATCTCTGTGGTAGTGCACGAAGAGATATGTTGCTACATCACGCGCGGAAAAGAGAATCAATTTTTTGAAACCTTAAAAAAAGTTCTTGGGAGGCCAGCCTCCTGTAGCCTCCCCTTGGCACCGCCGCTACAAATCGGTTATCCGCGGACACTTGAACTTGAAGTGTCTAAAATAGACTTTAACAGACCAATCAGAAATTGTTCAAAGTGCCTGCCTTGTTTAGACGAACGAATCGTCTTATTTATACACTTCATGTGTCTGGATTTTTTACAGTGTATACATCTACGTCAAATTCTACGCAGTTGAACTCAAACCTTTGTCCATAAACATATTTTGTTAATGTAACGCTCTTGTTAGATAGTGTTTATATTCATGTCGAATTCGAATTGTGATAATAGTCAAATAAAATGTGAAATAGAATCATCCAATAGTCAGCAACCGATTCATCGGTACAATCTAAGAAAAAGAAGACATACACAAATAACAAATGCATTGGTAATTGATGAAACAACACCAATATCAGTTGCAGGTATTTACATTTAAGTTATAAATTGTTTTGTTCATTATTTATTTGTATACTTTAGATGTAGAAAAAGTCGTTGATAGTTTACTCAAATATCGTGATAAACAAACATTAGAAAATAAAGATAGCATGGAAATGCTAATGAATGACTTGTGTACAAAATTACCATCATTAAAATCCGCATTAGAATCAGATTTATTTGTTTTGAGAACCGAAACAAATGTAAATGTATTAATAAAACGGTTTAGTTTTGTTATTTTATATTATTTGCTAAATTCACATTGGCCTTACATAGAAAAAATGAAATGTTTTAACCGTATTAAATCATTCTTCCACTTTTTACAAGGTTTAATCAAATGTAATGTTCTTGTAAAATTGAAAACGGTTACTAATCAAGGCAAGTTTGAAAATGCAGCAAAATTTATGTACATAGGTGATTCAGGTGTCTATACTGTTTTTTTCAAAACAACGATTAAAAAAAGACTAAACAGTTCAACTTAACAGCATTATCATCGGATAGAGAATACATCAAGACATGAGAAAAACTAATTTGCGAGCTACCAGTTTTTTTTTCTTTATATTCAGAGCTCAGAATATTTTTTGAAACTCAGTAAGAAGATTTGTATGCTACTTGCATGAAAAATAAATGATGTCGCGAATTTAAGATAGTTTGGCAGATTTTAGAGCATTCTACCGCTAATGATTTAAAATTTAATGAGCATGAAAAAGTCAGGGGTCTTGGCAAAATTTATTCTCTAAAAGTAAGTCTTTAAAAAGGACTGTCGCATAGTTAGATTACTCAGTTGTTCTTAAAAGAAGAAATATACAGTATAAAATGGCAGTTCAGTTCAAACAAATGCTAGAAGATACCGAGACATATATATATATATAAGAGAAACATGATCATTTTATATCTATAAAGAGAGCTGCATACCTAAAGCGACTAGGAAGAAGTGAAGAGAGAAAAACAGCAAACGAAGAAAAAGACAAAGCAGAAGAACAAGAAAACATATGTCTATGGAAATATGATCGACTGTTTTCAACAAAACATTCGAATTTTCAAGTGATGGATGGGACAGTACAAATTAGTGAAAATATATTATACTGTATTTTCCAGGATATGTATATGTTAGAAAAAACCTAGAGCTTCAACATTTACAGCTTAATTTATGCTATCTGATAGATATTTCCAGTAAAATAATCAACTATTAGCTCTTTATAGCTGGACCAGGAGATAGACAAAAGGGGATGAGACAAATTATAGGTCACATGCCAATAAATATCAGTAAACTGAAAATTACTAAGCAAAGGGATAAGCTAGTAATTTGCTGTTTTCATCAATTTAGTGTTTCGACTGATGAATTTTTCTGAGGAAAAAGATTTGACTTAGAATGATTCATAGTGTTACAGTAGCATCAAAAGTGGATGGGATACTTTTTTCACGCTTTCTGGAACCTCTGACAAAAAATGCAACTTTTTATCAAATACTGATAGCTGAATTCAAAATGAGATTATCAGGAGAAAGAGTAGAGTAAATGCTGTAAGATACTGAATTAAACATCCGGTATTTTTTCTGTTTCAGGCTAAACAAAAATCAAATAAGAGAAACAAGTGTATTAGGAACCATTTATGAAAATGGAGAAAAGACTAGTTTATTTTTTGCGCTGTTTGTAACTGGCAATATATAGACCTAACTTTAGCAGTACATATAACGCATGACCAATAGGCGCTCCAGTATTGATTTCAACAAATTTGTCCAAATAGAAGCAGAGAAATAAAGAAGCCATTTTTTTGTGGTCAAACCGTGCAATAGACGCTGGAATCGCCTATATATATATATATATATATGCATTCAGCGAGTTGAAGAATTATCTGTCCTCTTTAGAAAATCTATACACCTTAAATCAATAATTATGAATAGCGAAGTATTTTGATTTGATTCATGCATCTATATAGGTCTTCGTGAATATACTTCAGTTCAAATGATCTAATAAGTTCAATTAGAAAAGGAACTTTGTTACACAGGCCAACTTCAAATCTGCGAACTATGATACATCCATGATAGTATATAATTGTTTTCTTCGATTTATGACAATGGGGAACGGAAATGTGAAGAACATTGCTGTTAAATATAAAACTATTGGTTTTGAATAAGACTTCAACGAGTTTGAATAGTGAAAAGGCTCGGAAAACAGTAAATGCCTTAGCCGTGAACACCATGACCCCATAAAAGAATCCCTGTTCCTATAGATTAGGTATAAACATTAAAGATTAATATGTTGGAAAACCACTGATAAAAATTTTATCTTTCTGTACAATTGCTTTTTAACACTGATGAAAATCACTAATATTGGAATCATATTTGATGTAAGAAGTTTCATGGTTTTCTTTGGTGTACGAGTAAATAGTATACGTCTTAGAATTTTCTTTTTTATTGAATACCAGCTATATGTTCCTCTTGTGTTTTTCTCAGATTCGTATGCTGCAGACTGAAAGCATCAATCTTTAGTGCCATCAAAGTAACACTTTATGACTCAAAATGGAGTCATTCTGCCAAGGGGGAAACGGCGGATTCCGGATTCCCAAGATTCCCGGGATTCCCGTGGGATTCCGGAAATCCCGGAATCCCATGGATTCTTGGAACTTTTATAATAACGAATGACATTCCAGAAATTCGTATTTAACCTCTATGATCTTCAATCTAGTCTCGAAAATCTCATAGAGCTCAGTGCTAAGGCTTCACTGCTTTATC